AAACTCGCAAGACGAAAGGGTTTTTGGTTTTTTGAGTTGCTTCGCAAGACGATTTTCCCTATGGGCTTGCTTCGCAAGACGGAAACGTCTTGCAAGTTTGTTTCCTTTTTCTTAACACCGTTAATACAGTTGCGACTTGACTTCGAGGAGCAACTCATAGCACGCGGTGTGGTAGCCTTTTTTGAGGTTTTTGAAGACTTTGGTGATTTTTGAAGCTTTTCCAAAACTTTTCCGACACCGTGCTTCGCAAGACGAAAAAAAGCGCAAGACGAAAAAAATCGCGGAACTAATTAATTTCGTCTTGCGAGGCACCACTGTATTCTTGCATTTCAGGGGGCTGGACTAGAATGATCCTCGGGGTCCCTTCCCATTCTGTGTGATGATGGTGCCAGGCATTGGAACCCACTCCTAGGGACAGAGATGTGCCTTTGCCCCCCCCCTAGAATATTTGAAGGGGGCTCCCCCCCCCACTCCAGTTGCTGGGAATTGCCATTTAAATGGTTTGTGTCTTGGGATCGATTGTGCAGGGCAGGGTTTATCTGCCCCCCCCCCACTGTTTTACAGTGGTACCTCGGGTTACATACGCTTCAGGTTACATACGCTTCAGGTTACAGACTCCGCTAACCCAGAAATATTGCTTCAGGTTAAGAACTTTGCTTCAGGATGAGAACAGAAATTGTGCTCCGGTGGTGCAGCAGCAGCAGCAGCAGGAGGAGGCCCCACTAGCTAAAGTGGTGCTTCAGGTTAAGAACAGTTTCAGGTTAAGTACGGACCTCCAGAACGAATTTACTTAACCCGAGGTACCACTGTATTCAAGTTGGTACTCCTGGTTCCAGGCAAGTCTCCCTGGGGAGAGCATTCCACAAACAGTGAGACACTACAGAAAAGGCCTGTTCTCGCTTAATGTATGTACCATGTATACAGTGGTACCTCGGGTTACAAACACTCCAGTACCATGTACCATGTATACAGTGGTACCTCGGGTTACAAACACTCCAGGTTACAGACTCTGCTAACCCAAAAATAGTACCTCGGGTTAAGAACTTTACCTCAGGATGAGAACAGAAATCGCGCCGCCGCGGCGGGAGGCCCCATTAGCTAAAGTGGTACCTCAGGTTAAGAACGGTTTCAGGTTAAGAACAGACCTCCGGAACGAATTAAGTTCGTAACCAGAGGTACCACTCTATCTCATTAAAGTGCTTCAAAACCAGCACTTTGAATTGAAAACTGATTGGCAGCCAGTGCTGTCAGACCAGGACTAGTGTTACAGTCTCATGCCATTTTGCCCTGGTGAACAACCTGGCTGCTGAATTCCGCACCAGCTAAAGTTTCCAAACCATCTTCAGTTCAGAAGCACCTCCATGTATATAATGCATGAGCCCACTGAAAAGTACTGGCCTGTGGAGATAAGCTCTTCCCATCTGTGGTGTTTTATCTCTGATGGTCCATTCACAAGTGCAAGCCATCACATGGCGCTGCAGTTATCAACCACTGAACATGCATGCGTGAGTCTGCTTTTGCTCAATGGTTGAAGGTTGAAGAACAAGTTTCAGGTTAAGTACGGACCTCTGGAACAAATTAAGTACTTAACCTGAGGTACCACTGTATCTGCTACCCAAAGCAATTGCTTCATATTCTTTCATAGCGACATAGTAGAACATGTGAAGAAACGCCAAATGTAAGGCTCCTCTGAGTATATTAAGAGTAAAAGCTGAATTTGAGCAAAGGGAGCGGTTCCAAAGTTTTCACAGGCAGTTGGGCTTGAGACACTGCTGGAAATGGTTTTAACCGGCTGGTGGTTTCAAATTGGTTCATGTTCTTTCTCCTTTGTCCCAAGTCTGAGAGCATAAAGTGCCAACAAGAGGACTGGAAACGCCCTCTGATTGTTTACACCAGCTGATTGCTCTATCCACCTATCATTGTTGTCCCATGGGGTGGGGTGGGGGGCAGATAAAGATCCAAAAAGGCCCCACCCCACTCCTCTAGAACGTGCCTGGGCTGCATGTGAACTTAATGCTTAAAGCAGGCTTCATCGATGGGCAATGTGCAGAGGGTTGTTTGACATTTGTGATCCCATGCGCCTGTAAAGACCACAAGGTAAAGGTAAAGGGACCCTTGACCATTAGGTCCAGTCGGGGCCGACTCTGGGGTTGCGGCGCTCATCTTGCTTTACTGGCCGAGGGAGCCAGTGTACAGCTTCCGAGTCATGTGGCCAGCATGATTAAGCTGCTTCTGGCAAACCACAGCAGTGCACGGAAACGCCGTTTACCTTCCCACTGGAGCGGTACCTATTTATCTACTTGCACTTTCAAACTGCTAGGTTGGCAGGAGCAGGGATCAAGCAACGGGAGCTCACCCTGTCATTGCGGGGATTCGAACCACCGACCTTCTGATCGGCAAGTGCTAGGCTCTGTGGTTTAATCCATAGCGCCATCCGCGCCCCTCTCAGGTGGACTACAACTCCCATAATCCCTGGCCTCTGGTCCTCCTAGCTAGGCATGATGGGAGTTGTAGTCCAGCAACATCTAAGGCTGCTTTAAGGGGAAACCCAGAAGCACCAACCCCTTTTTTTAAAAAAGAAGATAAATGTCAGTGGAACCTTCAACAATAATCTTGCACCCTGGAGTGCACCTTGTTTAGGAATCCAGCCACCCTAGTCGGTTCCCGCATTTCATAGTATGCTGCGATCTCTGAGCATACAGTATTCATTAGTGCTGCAAATCTTGGGAGTTCCCCCCAAACCCAAGCTTTCAGATAACTCTATCTTATGTGTGGGTGGTGCCATTTCCGCTCCTCACACGACGGCACTCATAGCCTGAACATCGGAAATAAGAGGGAACAATTCTGGCAAGAGTGGTTCATCTAAAGGCGACCTTCGACCGTTTATTTCCAATTCTTATATATTTGCATAACTGCACACCCACCCACTGCATTTGCCGAGGGTGACATTTGACCAGAAATGGGAGCGATGACATTGGCCTTCTCCAAACCACAATTGAAATTATCGTGGCGGCGCATCATTCTGATGGCAATTCCCACACGCTTTGAGTGCAGGCGATTCTGAGCGGCTGAAGGGTGGAAGAAGCGTGTTGCAGGAAGCAAGCACCGCATTTCCAGATTGCAAATGTTATCAAACGCCTGTTCTAAATGGGTAGAATAAGCACAAATATTTGCAATTACAGTATTTTTGCAGGAAACGAGGAAAAGGAAACAAGCAAATGTGGGAGGGAGGGAGAAAGCTTGCAAGAAGGGACTGCATTATGAGATGCAAGGCAGACAAGAAGAAATGAAGGAGGAAATCAATACGAAACAAATGTATCTGGTGCTCAAAAAATCTGCTCGGGCATTAATGCCAACCCCTCCTAAGCGTCTCCATAAGACCCACTGCAAGATGCAAAACGTCTATGCCCAAATACTAGATACAGTGGTACCTTGGTTCTCAAACGCCTTGGTACTCAAACAACTTGGAACCCAAACACTGCAAACCCAGAAGTAAGTGTTCCGGTTTGCGAACTTTTTTTGGAAGCCGAAAGTGCTCCGTTTTGAGTGCCACACTTCCGTTTTGAGTGTTACGCTGAGGTCTGCCTGTTTTTGCTATTTATTTTGCGTTTTTGTTTCTGCAGCTCTTTTTTGTTTTGTTTTTGTGACTGTCTGGAGCCCAGTTCAGCTACTGATTGATTGATCGATTGTGTGACTGTAGTACATTGTTTATTGCTTTCATTTTATGGATCAGTGCTCTCATTAGATAGTAAAATTCATGTTAAATTGCTGTTTTAGGGGTTGTGTTTAAAAGTCTGGAACGGATGAATCCATTTTGCATTACTTTTTATGGGAAAGCGCGCCTTGGTTTTGGAACGCTTTGGTTTTGGAACAGACTTCTAGAATGAATTAAGTCTGAGAACCAAGGTACCACAGTATGCCCAAAGCATATTGAAATAAAAAAAATTAAGGATATATATATATATATATATATATATATATATAAAATAAATGTTCATAAATGTACCAACCAAGCACGTACATAGATATGTGGACCACATGTCTGGAGCAGCACAGGAAGACCCTGAAACCATTTTGACTCTCAAACTGACCAATTGTTCTCTCTGCAAGGAGGGGGGGTGAGGGAACCTTCCCATTGTCTCAGGAATTGGGTAATCACCATCTCAAAGGAATGGGCAGACTACCAGGAAAGGCAATCAGATAAGGCATTATTAGATAACCTGGCAGTCAGGAAAAACAACAACATTCAAATTTCTGTTGTAGACCACCTTTTCTGTGATGTAGGTATGATGTTTGTGGGGGGTGGTATTGGGTTACACCCCTTCTGTGATGTATGTATTATGCATGGAGGGGTGGTCTTGAGCTCCAGGGTAGGGAATTTAAAATGTCTATATAAGGGCAGGCACACCTTGGTTCTGGGTCCTCCTCCTTTCCTGCATGTGAGGGGAGCACCCTGTTGCAACAGTTTAATAAAGATCAGGCTTACTAGCTGCTTTGCACCTCAATATTCTCTGTTACAGTGGTGCCTCGCAAGACGAAATTAATTCGTTCCGCGAGTTTTGTCGTCTTGCGATTTTTTTCGTCTTGTGAAGCACGGTGTCGGGAAAGTTTTGGAAAAGCTTCAAAAACCTCAAAAAGCTTAAAAAACCTCAAAAAAGGCTACCACACCGCGTTCTATGAGTTGCTCCTCGAAGTCAAGTCGCAACTGTATTAACGGTGTTAAGAAAAAGGAAACAAACTTGCAAGACGTTTCCGTCTTGTGAAGCAAGTCCATGGGGAAATCGTCTTGCGAAGCAGCTCAAAAAACAAAAAACCCTTTCGTCTAGCGAGTTTTTTGTCTTGCGAGGCATTCGTCTTGCAAGGTACCACTGTATTTTCTCCTACCGATGGAGAACCTACAAAGGACTCTATAAGGGCTCTTGCATCCACCATAAGGGAATAAGGGCAGATTTTGTTTATTACAATATCTAGTACGCAAAAGCATGCCACAAATAACAGACTGAGCATACAATTTTATAGCAAGAAACGCTTGATTGAGAAGAGAAAACGCTTTGTTGCAACTAGATGACGATGACGGAGCCTGAGTGATTGGAGGGGACAGGATAAGGCTCTTGCTTCTCTCGGAAGTAGCGTATCAAAGAATGCACACCGCTTCGGACTGCCGGCTTTAGAGCTGCAGAAATCCCCATTCCCCAAACGCTGCCTGCCCCACCTGTCACTGCGAGCAGTGTATCCTGGCTGACATCTACCACGGTATCTATACCGCGTTCCTCTGCCAGCTCCTTGCAGTCCTTGGCCGCAAAGTAAATGGTGGTTCCGAGGTTGTAGGCGGTGCTGACTCCAGGAATCCAGTTCACGACTGCATGGACTTTTTGCTCCATCTCACTAGTACAGTTGTCCGGGGTGGAACGTCGCCCTCTTGCAGGCCCGTGGCACTTACGGAGCCAGGTGTAGGCGCCACGCTGGGGCAAGAGATAGCTACCCTCTCGTGTCACCACATGGAACAAACTGCTGCCATTAGAGGACACTCCGGCACAAGAATCCCGTAGGCGGTAACAGGCTCTGGAAGCCATCCCAAAGCCCTGGTAGACTCTGTATTTTTTGCCGTGCAGGAAGGATCCGTTCACCGGCACCAGATCCTGGCAGTGCCGGACCGGTGTTTGCGCCTGCAGGTTCAAGAAGAATCTCAAGGCAGCGCTGCTCTTCCTCTGACCAGGGGAGCGAGTGGTGTTCAGAGTCCCGGCCATCGCAAACAGGAGGTCATCTGTATCTGTCTGTCCCAACTCCTTGTAGAGGCGCAGGATGAGGGTTTCGGCACGCCGGCTACAGCCTGCCCTTTGCAGGGCCAGCACTAATGCAGCTCGGATGAGGGTCTGGGAGAGCTCGGGCACATCAGCAAAACCGTCCAGGGCTTCAGGCATCAAGTCCTCGCAGGAAACCCCCTTTTGGGGCAAATGGGGGGATTTGGGGGAGATGGAGCTCAGGAAAATGCGGAGAGGAACTGAGGTGGAGTCAGAGGTCAGTGGGTGGTCTTCAGAAGCCTTCTCCCTGGGATTCGCCATGGGCAGCGAGCGCCCTTCCGATCCATGACATAGGAGCAGGAAGCCAAAGAAAGTCAAGAAGGCCTTGGGAGGTAGCAAGGGCCGATACATGTTGGACAGATTCATTGGAAGTCCTGTTGAAAGGAGGAAACTGAGAAACATCTGGCTCTCATATTTTTATGAGATGGTCTAGGGGCCCTCTGCTCCAAAGTCCTTTGGATCAGGTTCCAGGGGCACAGGACCACCACACATTTAATTAATATAGCTTTAAATCACATTAGCTGTGGCTCATTAAGGCTGCTGGGAGCTGCAGGTCTGCGGCAGGTACACTACAGTACAGGGAGCCAGTGTGGTGTAGTGGTTAAGAGCGGTGGACTCGTAATCTGGTGAACCGGGTTCGATTCCCCACTCCTCCACATGCAACTGCTGGGTGACCTTGGGCCAGTCACACTTCTTTGAAGTCTCTCAGCCCCACTCACCTCACAGAGTGTTTGTTGTGGGGGAGGAAGGGAAAAGGAGATTGTTAGCCGCTTTGAGACTCCTTTGGGTAGTGATAAAGCGGGATATCAAATCCAAACTACTCTGCTCTACAACAGTTCCCAGGATTCTTTGGGAAAAGTCACATGCTTTAAAAGTCTGATACGGATGGGGACCAGAAGTGCTTCCTCCCTTCATCAGGAGCACATTGTTTGGCTGAAAGAAGGCGGTTTTAAGAACAGGAGGCTGGAACCCTTTCTCCCAGTGGCAGCTCACCCACCCACTTGCTTGTCATTTTTCATTTGCTGCTCTTTCCAAGATTGAAAGCAGCAGAATGTTTTCAGAAGGGGAGGGGGCAGGGAAAAACAGCTTGCCTATTATCTGCCTCCTGGGAAAACAGAGCAGAGGAAAATCAGGGAAAGGGAGCTGGTGGCTGCCCGGATGTTGTTGAAACTCCCAACTTCCATCAGCCCTAGCTGCCATGGCCAGTGGAACTGTAGTCCAGCACCAGTTGCTCCACCCTCGGTGCAAACCTTCAATACCCAGAACCAGAAACGGTGGGGGTGGGAGAGAAGAATAAAGGAGCATTTAGGGGGAAATGCTTTTATGGGCTCATCAGTGTTTCATGCCTAGAAAGCACAGGTCCCAGCAGATTTCTCCTTGCCCTGCTCCTTTCCACAGGGAAAACCGCTCTTTGCCTCTCAATCGGAGCAAACGTCAATCCAGAGAAAACCTGAAATGCCATTTGATCCAATTAAGGCAGGCCTCCAGATGTTTTGGGACTACAACTCCCACCATCCCTGACCACTGGTCCTGTTAGCTAGGGATGATGGGAGTTGTAGTCCCAAAACATCTGGAGGGCCGAGTTTGCCTATGCCTGAATGAAGGGGTAAAGAGCCTTTTTTTTTCCTGGGGGAAAGAGGAAGTGGATGAGCCCTAACATCTAAAGGGAACATGATCCACAGGTCAGAGTCCCATATGGAGCTGTCTGAGCTGGCTTAAAACAAACAAATGTGAGACAGGGAGCTCCATCACAACCAGAAGGCTAAGCCGAAGGACAGAAGATACTTTCCACTGTGTGTGGTGTTTAAGAAGCAAAGCAAGATACTTCAAGCCCATTGGAGGACTCTCTCACAAATGTCAGTTAAAACTGCTCAAGGCTTGACCGCGTCATAATAAAATTGGATTCCAACCCAGGGTTGTTCCAGACCTTTCCCACTTCAAGTGGGGGGTTCTTCCACGTTGAGCTTTCCAAGGGTGGGAAAACCTCACATTTAAAAGAGGGAAAGGTTCGGGAGAACACTGGGGCATTAATGGGGAGGGAGGCTGGTTCAAATCCACATTTTCCTCCAATGTGGACAAGCTCTCCATAAGCCACGACTCTCTGCTACACTGCCAAGTTCATTTGCACAAGGAACCTTCACAGGTCTGATAAATATTATTTATACCCCGCCCCGCTGGGGAAACCCAGCCACTCTGGGCAGCTTTCAACAAAATATTAAAATACCAAACCTATTAAACATTAAAAGCTTCCCTAAACAGGGCTGCCTTCAGATGTCTTCTAAAAGTCTGGTAGTTGTTTTTCTCTTTGACTTCCGATGGGAGGGCGTTCCACAGGGCGGGCGCCACTACCGAGAAGGCCCTGTGCCTGCCTCCCTGTAACTTGGCTTCTCGCATTGAGGTGAACCGCCAGAAGGCCCTCGGTGCTGGACCTCAGTGCCCGGGCAGAACGATGGAGGTGGAGACGCTCCTTCAGGTATACTGGGCCGAGGCTGTTTAGGGCTTTAAAGGTCAGCACCAACACTTTGAATTGTGCTCGGAAACGTACAGGGAGCCAATGTAGGTCTTTCAAGACCATGTTTGATATTGGGCTCCTTTGGGAGAAAGGGTGGAACGGAAATGAAATAAAGGAATGCAATGCAATGTCAGGTGCTGATCCTATCCGCCTAGCACTCTGTCCGGCTACCTTGTCTCCAGAATGAAACCCTGGTTTGCTCCTCTGCAAGTCCCTTAAAACCTTTTCCCCCATGCCAGCCTTTTCCCACCCACTCGCCTGCCACTAGGAAGGAGCAGCTTACCTTTTCTGCAGAGGAGGCACAAGCGTATAGAGAACTTAGGTGGGAATCCAGAACCTTTTGCCCCAGTGTTATAGATCTCTACCCTGGTTGGTCAGTCTTATCAGCAGACCTCATTGCAACACACGGCTTCACTATCAAGTTCTGGCATCTTTGCGCGGGTCACTGTCAACTAATTCCCCCCCCCCCGATGTAGCATTCCCTGCGTTGATTCAGCAGCTTATTTTAGTAGGGATTCCTGAGAACAGAACACAGGGGAAGTCCTTTGCAACCGACACAAGCAAAGAGCTGGAGCTATGTCCTTTTAAAGGTAAAGGTAAAGGGACCCCTGACCATTAGGTCCAGTCGTGACCGACTCTGGGGTTGCGGCGCTCATCTCGCTTTATTGGTCGAGGGAGCCGGCGTACAGCTTCCGGGTCATGTGGCCAGCATGACTAAGCCGCTTCTGGCAAATCAGAGCAGTGCACGGAAATGCCGTTTACCTTCCTGCCGGAGCGGTACCTATTTATCTACTTGCACTTTGACGTGCTTTCGAACTGCTAGGTTGGCAGGAGCAGGGACCAAACAACGGGAGCTCACCCCGTCGTGGGGATTCGAACCGCCGACCTTCTGATCGGCAAGTCCTAGGCTCTGTGGTTTAACCCACAGCGCCACCCGCGTAAGCCACTCCTTGCCATCAAGGGCACTATGGATGACAGATAGATCCAGGAGTATCCTCAAGCTTTGCACCTGCTCCTTCAGATGGTGTTCATAAGTGGCCCACCTATAAATCACTTATAAACACCATCTCCAACTCCTCGAAAGATTCCATCAATGGCGTATCCGAATTTTTTTACACATCATTTGGGAAGACAGGCCAGTGTACTGGAAGAAGCAAAGATCAGCAGTAGAAATGATTCTTCAACATCAACTTTGTTGGACTGGTCATGTTGTGCGGATGCCTGATTATCGTCTTCCAAAGGAAGTACTCTGTTCCGAACTTAAAAATGGAAAGTGTAATGCTGGTGATCAACAAAATAAATTTTTATTTTTTATTTTTTTTCTGTTTTATTAAATTTGCTTAGTAACATAACATTATTATATATATTCTATAAAACAAAGAATACGGAACAAAATTCATTCATACTGCAATGCCTAACTACATAACGTCAACAAAAGAGATTTAAAGACAAGGCAAATCTTTAAAAATGTAGTATAAGCACCGACAACTGGGAAACACTGGCCTGTGAGCGCTCCAATTGGACAACAGCCTTTTCCAAAGGTGTCGTGGACTTTGAGGACGAACTTTGGACGTTGAAGCTCAAACTCAGGACGCAAGGGAGAAATGTGCTAAGAGGAAGGCATGCTTGGCAAACCCTCACTATGATCAACTCCTGCCCGGAAACCTATGTCGCCACTGTGGAAGGACGTGTGGATCCAGAATTGGCCTCACTTATGGACTCACTGTTAAAACCGTGTTCATGGAAGACAATCTTACTCGGCTACGAGGGATTGCCAAAGAAGAAGAAGCACCTTCAGAGGAATTGCAACCCCATCCAGAACAGGTAACTTGACTGTTTCCCAGACCACCCACCCAAATAGCATCTTGCTTTCCTAAAATTCAAGCACAATTTATTAGCCTCAACCAGTAAAACCAATGCACTCAGACACTGATCCAGAGCATTCACAGTCAAGTCTCTCTCGATTCAGATGTTTTCGAGAATTATTGTTTAATATTATGATTAAAAACCTTTTAATCTTAATAGTCCAATTTTTAGACCTTGTTCATCTTAATACAAGTGAGTTTTCAAAAGTTATACTAACTTAAAAGTATATATACAAAGCTTAAAAGACGAGCATCAAATCTTTTTTAATAATCAAAGTCCTCTTTCTGTCTTGGATTCTACATCGACTAAATTAACCTAAATAGTTCAATAGTTTAGTTTGCCAGTCTTCTTCATCTTCTTTGCCGGAGGCTTCTTCCTTCTCTAGGGATGGCTGGTCTTGGCCTGGCATCCACTCTCAAGCACAGGAGCAAAGTCTTTTATTCAATAAGTCCAATAATTCCTGTACAACTCAATATCATAACTTCAGGTTTTTTTAAAACAACAATCATTTTCCACATTGCTTTCAGATATGTCTTATCCCAGGCCTTTCTAATGATTTCAAAACCAGCACTTTGAATTAGCACTTCTAGCAGACAAAAGCAAGCAAATAAGGATCCTCTGTTTCCGCCACCCCAAAAAACATCTGTGTTCTCTAGGCGATGGAGAGTTCACGAGAGTCGCTTCATCTGGGCTAGGAACAGTTATGGAGCAGCTAGAAGGTGGTGACTGGACCGGAGTAGTTGGAAGGGACAGGAAAAGGGTGCATCTCCTCTCTCAAATACCTCAGCATGGCACGCACCGCCGTCTTCAAGCCTGGCTTTAGCCCTGCATAAATCCCCATGCCAAGAACGCCGCTGGCCCCTCCAGTCGCAAAGAGCAGAAAATCATGGCCTATGTCTATGGCGCAGCTCATAGCACGCTGATGCGCCAGTTCCATGCAGTTCAGCTTTGCAAAGTACACACTGGTGGCCAAGCTGTACAAGGCGCCGACCCAAGGAATCCAGTCCAGGATAAGGTAGATTTTCTCCTCGGTCTCATTGTCGCAGTACTCCGTGGTGGAACGGCGGCCTCTTCCAAGCCTGCGGCACTGGTGGAGCCAGGAGGTGGCGCCATGGCGGGGCAGGAAGTAGCTGCCCTTTCTTTCCACCACGTAGAAGCTGCTGCTGTCGCTGGAGGCCACTCCGGCACAGGAATCCCCTAGGCGGTGGCAGGCTTTGGAAGCCGCCGGAAAACCCCGGTAGACTTTGTGTGCCTTGCCGTACAGGAGGGATCCGTTCACCGGCAACAGACCTCGGCAGTGATGGACTGGCGTTTGCGCAAGCTGGTCCAAGTTGAATTGCAAGGCAACACTGCTCTTCCTCGGACCGGGGGAATGAGTGGTGTTCAGAGTCCCGGCCATCGCAAACAGGAGGTCGTCCGAATCTACCTGTCCTAGCACCTCGTAGAGGTGCAAGACGAGGGTTTCCGCATGCTGGCTACAGCCAGCCCTTTGCAGGGCCAGCACTAACGCAGCTCGGATGAGGGTCTGGGAGAGCTCAGGCACATCAGCAAAACCGTCCAGGGCTTCAGGCATCAAGTCCTCACAGGAAACCCCTTTTTGGGGCAACTGGGGGGATTGGGGGGAGATGGAACTCAGGAAGATGCGGAGAGGAACTGAGGTTGAGTCAGAGGTCAGTGAGTGGTCTTCAGAAGCCTTCTCCCTGGGATTCGCCATGGACAGCAAGTGCACTTCTGATTCATGGCATAGGAGCAGGAAGCCGACGAAAGTCAAGAAGGCCTTGGGAGGCAGTGAGGGCAGGTACATGTTGGATAGATTCATTGGAAGCCCTGTTGAAAGGAGGAGACAGAAGAAGATCTAGCTCTTACTTGGGAATCTGTATGGAGGAGTGTGACATTGGGTAGGTAAAAAGGTAAAGGTAAAGTCCAGTCAAAGGCGACTATGGGGTTGTGGCGCTCATCTCGCTTTCAGGCTGAGGGAGCCGGTGTTTGTCCACAGACAGCTTTTATGGGTCACGTGGCCAGCAGGACTAAACCACTTCTGGCGCAACAGAACACCGTGATAAAAACCAGAGCACACGGAAACGCTGTTTACCTTCCCGCCGCAGCGGTACCTATTTATCTACTTGCACTGGCATGCTTTAAAACTGCTAGGTTGACAGGAGGTGGGACAGAACAACGGGAGTTCACTCCGTTACGGGGATTCGAACCGCCAACCTTCCGATCGGCAAGCCCAAGAGGCTCAGTGGTTTAGACTGACTGGGGACTGCAGACTTGTAAGTACATGAACTAGGGTTGATAAGAGACCCCTATTCCCCTCAGAGTTACCGGAGTAACTCTGGGAAGAGGAACGGACTCTTAAACCACTCTGTAAACTATAGTTCTGGAAGGGGAATAGGGGTCTCCCAGCACCCTCAACAAACTACATCTCCCAGGATTTTTAAGGGAAGCCATCACTGTTTAAAGCAGTTATCATCGTGCTTTCGATGAATGCTGGGACTGTGCCCTCGCAGCAGTGGCAGCAGCCAGAGTTAAGTCTGCATGCGAGGGTGTTAGGAGTTTGTGTTTGCTCAAGTCAGAGTGGCTTCCTAAAAAAAACCTCTGCTTGCAGCTGCTTTCTGTGAAGAATGTGCCCTAGGAAAAGCTGCTGCAGTTTGGACTCGGTGCCCCAGAATGAGTGCTTGCTTCACTTCTTTTTGGATGAAGTGAAAGTCAGCCTTCCGCTTAAGAGGGAATTAACCTCAACCAGTGTTCTTTGTCAGGTCTAGACAGAGATCTTGGTGGAACACCTACTCTGCTGATGAGTAATCCCACACAGGGCCTTTCTATGAGCCAATAGAAAGCCTTTAGTCTCCTGCTTGAATCAAGGGTCACACGCACCCCATACGTTGAAAGCACATGGCTTCTGCCAAAGAATTATGGGAGCTGTAGTTTATTAAAGGTGCTAGAGCCACAACTGAGTGGACTAGGTCCCAGGATTCTCTGGGGGACGTCATGTGCTTTAAATGTATCATTCAGCCCTACATCAGGAACACGTTTTGGCTGGAAGGTGGTGGCCTTAAGAACAGGAGGCCGGAACCATTACTCCTAGTCCATACCCTCCCAACATTTCTCTGATGAAAAAGGGATGTCCTATGTAGTAAGTTTTGCAGGAGGCGGGTGGCGCTGTGGGTTAAACCACAGAGCCTAGGACTTGCCAATCAGAAGGTCGGCGGTTCGAATCCCTGCGATGGGGTGAGCTCCCGTTGCTCGGTCCCTGCTCCTGCCAACCTAGCAGTTCGAAAGCACACCAAAGTGAAAGTAGATAAATAGGTACCGCTCCGGCGGGAAAGTAAACGGCGTTTCCATGCGCTGCTCTGGTTCGCCAGAAGCGGCTTGGTCGTACTGGATACATGACCTGGAAGCTGTACGCCGGCTCCCTCGGCCAATAAAGTGAGATGAGCGCCGCAACCCCAGTCTGCCACGACTGGACCTAATGGTCAGGGGTCCCTTTACCTTTATCTATGTACAGTGGTACCTCAGGTTACATACACTTCAGGTTACAGACTCCGCTAACCCAAAAATAGTACCTCGGGTTAAGAAATTTGCTTCAGGATGAGAAAAGAAATCGTGCTTGGGCAGCGCGGCGGCAGCAGGAGGCCCCATTAGCTAAAGTGGTGCTTCAGGTTAAGAACAGTTTCAGGTTAAGAATGGACCTCTTGAATGAATTATGTACTTAACCCAAGGTACCACTGTAGTAAGTTTACTATTTATACACATATAAAAACACAGTAAAACGTTGGGGAAAAAATCTCCCTATACAGCGCTTCCTCCAGATGTTTTCTAAAGGTTATATAGTTATCTCCTTGGCTCGGGGGTTGCATAACTCTATACCCTCCAACATTTCTCCCATGAAAATAGGGAGGTCCTAAGGAATAGCGGGACATTCAGAGATCAAATCAGAAACCAGGATGGCTTCTGTAAATCTGAGACTGTCCCTGGAGAATAGGGACACCTGGAGGGTCTGCCAGTTGGCATCCCACCCACTCACCTACTTTTCTACAGTAGCTGCTATTTCCAAGTGTGAAAGCAGCAGAATGTTTTCAGAAGGGGAGGAGGCAGAAAAAACAGCTTGCCTGTCATGTGCCTCCTGAAAAGACAAGAGCAGAGGAAAATCACGGCAAGGGAACTCGTGGCTGTCTAGTTGTTGTTGAACTCTCAACTCCTGTTAGCCCCAGATGCTGTGGCCAATGGCTGGGGATGCTAGGAATTGTAGTCCAGGAACAACCAGAGGCCCTCAGATTCCCCATTCCTTGTGCAAACCCTCAAGATCTAGGTCAAGAGATGGTGGGAGACGAAAAAATGAACAAGCAAGCATTAAAAATAAAATAAAATGTTATATTCTGAAGGCTGGTTTTAACCTTTAAAGCCCTATACGGCCTAGGACCCTCGTACCTACGGGACCGCCTCTCCTGGTATGTCCCACAGAGGAAACTTACGGTCTTCACACAAAAACATCTTGGAGGTCCCGGGCCACAGAGAGGTTAGGCTGGCCTCAACTAGAGCCAGGGCTTTTTCGGCTGTGGCTCCGATCTGGTGGAACGCTCTGTCACAAGAGACTAGGGCCCTGCGGGACCTGACATCTTTCCGCAGGGCCTGCAAGACAGAGCTGTTCCACCAGGCTTTTGGTCATGGCACAGTCTCCCTCCTCTGGCAATCTGCACAGAATTTTGCTTAACGGTTGCCATCAATTTGATTTGAATTAATTTTATAATGGAATGTTTTTAGAATGTGGGATTATTTGATTGTTGTTAGCCGCCCTGAGCCCGGCTTCGGCTGGGGAGGGCGGGATATAAATAAATTATTATTATTATTATTATTATTATTATTATTATTATGTTACATCCTGTACAGGTCAGAGTTCCATACGGCGCTGTCAAAGCTGCTTAAAACAATAGCAATCAGCGTTCTTCACTGGGGGAAAAGGTTATGACAAAGCAGTGTCTTTTCCCTTTGGTGCCGGCACTTAGGAGACACAATCTCATAAAGCAGCTGAGTCAGCCATGAATTGCACGCAGCCAAGTTTGCTTGCACAAGGAACTCCTAGAGATCTGGTCAACATCACAGCATCCGAGCTGCTTCTAGTGAACAGCCACATTATACATGCCAAGATTTTTATTTTCTCCAGATGTTGATCCTCTATTCTAGAAACATAAGGGGCCTCCCTGCTAGCCTAACACACTATCCTGGCCCTCATCTTCAAACTGAAACCTTTAGGTTTGCTCCTCTACAAGTCTCCTAAAATCTATTTTCCCCATAGCATGCTGGCCCCTGCCCATCCACCAGAATGGAGCAGCTTACCTGTTTGGAGAAGAGGCACAAGCGTATAATTACCAAGGTGGCAGAGAATGCAGAGCCGTTTCCCCAGTGCTTATATATCTATATTCTGGGGTCTTATCAGCAGACCCCATTGCAACACTCTGCTCCATTATCAAGTTAATTCATTATCAGCTTCCCCTTTCCCTTTGCAAGGGGCACAGAAGTATTCATCCTCAACTCATTTTGGTTTCTGCTGCAGTTCTCTGGCTTTGTTTCAGCAGCTACTTTGAGCGGGAATTCCTGAAGAAGTCCTTTGCAACCAAAACGATCAAGGGGCTGGAGCTATTCACTTAACGAGCAATGGTTACATCTGGGGATTTCGAGTGTGGAAAGGAAAAGGGCAGACATGACAAGGGTTCTATAAAGTTGTGCATGGTGTGAAGCTAAATGCTGATTCTGCGCACAGATCGGAAAGCAACTCTTTACGTTGCACATAGTTAAATCAATGGAACTGCCTCCCAGAATATGCAGTGATGGCCACCAGCTAGACTGGTTACAATAGAGGATTAGGGTAAATTTATGGAGAGTACGGCTGTTGCTGGCTGCTGGCTGTGTTTTCTGGCGTGAGAAGCAGACCTGTCCCTGAATACCAGTTGCTGGGAATACCTGTTGCACTTATGTCCTGGATCAGACCCAGGACCGATCTGGTCCGGGCACCTTGTTCTCAGGAGTGGCAAACCAGAAAACCCCAGGCAGCTCACAACACAGGTCATGAGTGCCAACAAGTCTCCCCACTCACAATTCCCAGCAATTGCTCTCTAAAGTTTAGGCTGGGGACCCTGTGTTTCTCCAGATATTGGACTACAATGTCACAGGGCCTGTCCATACTTCTTCCATGCCTAGAAAGCACAGGGTAAAAAGGTTTTCCACTTGGTCCATGTTTTCCCCTGGGAAAACCCAGGCTGAATCGGAGTGGTCATCAATTTGCAGAAAAACCGGCTGACATTTTGCTCTGATTCAGCAAGATTTCTTGGGGGACAGCAGTGGGGCTGTGGGTTAAACCAGAGAGCCTAGGGCTTGCCGATCAGAAGGCTGGCGGTTCGAATCCCTGTGACGGGGTGAGCTCCTGTTGCTCGGTCCCTGCTCCTGCCAACCTAGCAGTTCAAAAGCACAAAGTGCAAGTAGATAAATAGGTACCGCTCTGGCAGGAAGGAAAACGGCGTTTCCGTGCGCTGCTCTGGTTCGCCAGAAGCGGCTTAGTCATGCTGGCCACATGACCTGGAAGCTATATGCTGGCTCCCTCGGCCAATAAAGCGAGATGATCGCCGCAACCACAGAGTCTTCTGGGTCAGGGGTCCCTTTACTTTTACCATTCTTGTGTGGGGTTGATGGCAGCTGGAGACGAACCACATCTGGAGTGCACCAGGTTCCCCATCCCAGGGCCTGGGTTACAAATCAGACTTGGTGCAAACATATAGAGCTTAGAGCCCATGTGCAAATGTGGGAATACTCAAATTACAGAAAACACCTGAAATTGCTAAAAGCAGGATTACTATTGCTTTCCTCCTATTTAAGGAAAGTCAACGCACAGAAACCATTGCAAAGCCCTCATCCTCTTCCCTCCAAGAAGCTCTTGCATTTTCCAGCAGCTATGTAAAACAAGGCATAACCTTTAAAACGTTGGATTTCTTTAGAACTAGTCAGCCAAGGGTTGGTTGGGGGATTTTTATTATGAAAACACAACACAAGCACACAAGTCACGTACTAACATTCCTGCCCTTCTGCCATGAACGAGAGGCAAACCTTAGACATCTCTGACGTTGCCTCTGCCTGGAACAGCCCAAGCAACAAAGTCAATAGCTGTCGGCAAGGAAAACTGAAGCAGCTGGTGATGAGAAAAATAATCTGGGAGCAAAATTCAGCACAGGAGCACATCTTTGCTTTTGAACCCCACCCTCCCCAAAACAATTCAACTCTTGACACCCGACATCAAACGAGTCTTGTGTGATTCCAGTACAAGCACCCATTTTTGAAGAAGGAATATCAAGGGGTAGGTGCCAAGGCGCAATGGAGACAGAAGGCCATGCGCATGTATTATAAGGCAATGTGAGACTTGAGCACAGGGATGAGGTCGTGTTTTGGTGACGAATCCAAAAGCCAAGTAGCCTTAAGATTCAAAGAGCCAACATGCCTCGTTTCTGCTTGGCAGGTCAGTCTTGTCAGGGTGGCTTTTGCTGGCTCTCAGCAGACATCATTCAGAACAAACGCCCCATGTCACAGGTGTCATAAACTACAAATGGTTACAGAACAGTTTAAAGTGAAGCTTCTTGTACCAGCTTCAACGTCTGTTGTATCCTGTAACAGAGCAGGGCAGAAAGCCCATTCTCCTCTTCCCTCCTCAGGCAGATCTCACATTTCCCTGCATCCATTCTCTAGCAGGCCTCATTCACATGTTCAGTCTGCCTGCATCCCATTCCCAAATACTACAGTTGTGCACCAAGACTGGGAGACCGGGGCTGGGGAAGAGAAAAAGAGAGAGATTCTTTCCAGGCTGCCCCATCGAGGACCCCTCTGCCCGAGGTGGTTCTTGCAGCTCCAGAGCTGGCAGTGGGTGTAACTGGTCTGAACTGGGCCCGGGGGGGCAACTCCTTCAATCTTCTTCCTCCTCTTCAATTCGCCGGCACTTCCTTTTGCCAGCAGGCCGCGGCTCGTCCTCATCACTGGACCCTGCCGGTGCCAAAGATAAAATACAGCGTGATCTTAGGAGAGCAAGGGATAAAGTGGCGATGGAAAAAGCCGTGCTGTGACTTAATCGGATTTTTGCAGAAAGTTGCTTCAGAAGCAAAGTGGGAATTATTCAGCATTCTGGGGAAAGAAGCTGAAGGATAAACACAGAGAGAGAGAGCATTAAGAAGCTGCTCTCACTGCTATCCATTACCGAATAATGAACATCCTTTCTGCCGCTCCTGCCCCCCAATCGAACCTCAGTAATGTATTTTTGGCTGGGTTTCTGAAGTCCTGATAAGCTGAGGATTCTTGACATGCCTCGTGATTAGGAGGAGACTCAAAGCAGTGACCACGCATAAGGCAGCGGGCAGCCTGTTTGGGCAGGGGGTGGCTGGTAATTTCTGCTGCCCTCTCTGTACTGCGAAGGAAGGATGGAATGATCTAATCACAGCACTGTCTTTCTTCTGTAGACCATTGCCCCAACTTCTATCAAGAGCCCTTTGTCTCTCTTATCTCTCAGCGTATCTTGCTGGTTGTTCGAGTAGCCTACTGACGCCTCTGCCCCCCCCACTCCCCTATTTTTCTCAATTGGGTGAAGGGGGGGTTTGCTACTCTATTGTTGGTCAGTTGATTTTAATTCGTGGAAACCTAAAACAATGACAGTCTTACTAAGGGGGGAGGAAATACAGTCAACATCTGCAGCAGAAATAGGGCACCTATTCCCTTGCACCTCGATGCTGACCAGGTGAATGCAGACAAGGTCGGCAGCTTCCTTCGTGGGCAGGTACTTTGAGCTCACAGAAGCCTTTGCATGAGGGATGGGGAACCCACAGCCTTTCGGATACTGTTCGTTTTATTTATTAAAATATTTGTATACTGCAATTTCATTAAAAACACAACAACACCAAAGCGGGTTACAGTTAAATTAGAAACACCACAAAAATTAACACAGACCACCAGTTTGACTATTACAGATTTCCCTCCTCCTTAATTGTCTGCATAAGACCGGAAGCAAAGAGAAGCCTTCAGTAAATGTTTGGAAGTCAATATAGACGGTGTCAGCTGAGGTTGTGTCCACATTGCTTTTCCTCCACTCTCTAAAGCACAGGTCATGGTGCCTGGAAAGCTCCGCATCTGAGCACTTTTTTTTGGTGTGGTTTTTTTGGCCCGGGAGATTTCCCTGAAAAATCCGCCCTTTTTAAAGCTTGATCAGTGCAAATGGCACTCTGCAGAAAACACGAATTGACGTATGCTGTGACTGAGCGCTAAAGAGTGGGTTTTGCGGGGAGAAAAACCTCTCGGACACAAAGCTTTTAAGCATGGACCTGTTCCTGGAAAGAGCGGGGGGTGGCAGTGGCGGTGGGGAGTACTGTATTTTTCGCACTATAAGACTCACTTTTTCCCTCCTAAAAAGTAAGGGGAAATGTGTGTGCGTCTTATGGAGTGAATTCAGGCTACGCAGCTATCACAGAAGCCAGAACAGCAAGAGGGATCGCTGCTTTCGCTGCGCAGCGATCCCTCTTGTTGTTCTGGCTTCTGAGATTCAGAATATTTTTTTTCTTGTTTTCCTCCTCCAAAAACTAGATGCGTCTTATGGTCTGGTGCGTCTTATAGAGCGAGAAATACAGTAAGTGTGGATGAGCCCTATTGGGAGAACATTCCACAGAAGCGAGTCATTAACTCTGAAGGCTCAGTTTTCATACAGATTCCAAATGAGCCTCCACAATTTGGGGACAACCAGCAACACCCCTACAGATGATCTGTGATCAAGTTGCACCCAGAATCAAATGGATTATTTGTACCGGCAGCGAAAGAGCAGACATGCAGGTTGGGGAAAGGCGTTTGATGGAAGTAACTACACTGCTGCCACGAGACATACCTTGGCTGTTGCCTTCTTCCTGCTCCTCACCGTCAATGACCAAGCGCCTCCGCTTGGGTCCCAGAGGGGGCTGGATGGGCCCCTCCCTGGAAACAAGGGCAAGAAAGAGGGGTGTTGGTGTGTGCCTGCCACATACAAATGCCAGACGTAGACTCAGGGAGAGAAGAATGCAGAATCAGAAGCTACAGCACCCACCCCAGGGCTCTAGGCAAGTTTCCACCAACAAAACTTGTAGCTCAGGTGGCACAAACCTATATAATGGTGCCAGGTTTTTGCTTTCGTATCCAGTTATAAGCTTCTGAAAGGAACAGGGAGATGTGGACTGAATTGGGGGCAGGGAAGAAAACCAAGTAAGAAAAATCAGACTAGCAGGATTCCAGTTGCTGATGGCTGGTCGTCGATTGAATTCAGAAAATATCGAACAATGGAGCAGGGCAGCGAACAGAAAGAGGCGGCAAATGGGAGCGGGCAGGAAGCAACTGACTTCTCTCCTTGTTGTGCTCCTGCTCAGAACATGCCAGCTTTCACTCTGACAGCTAGAAGTGCAAGGCTGCATGTGACTCATTGTTTTCTGCCTCTATGAATCAGATATGCAAAACAAATCCCAGGCTTGAAGCACAGAGCTGCTCAATTCCATTATATAATCCATCCATATAAATGAACCCCACCCAAGAACTAGAACGATTATAGAAGGGGGAAGGGTCGTAGCAGTTTTGCAACCACTGGCATAGGGCTAGGAAACAACTCCTGCCTGAATCCCCACTGCTGCCAGTCCGTGTAGACAACAGTGAGCTAGATGGATCAATGGTCTTGACTCTGAATAAAGGCAGCTTCCTGTGTTCTGCATGCTACACCTGAGTTTGTTTCTGGATATGAGTCACCTCCATGCTTTTAAGCTATTACAATTCACCTTGCCCACTTTGTATGAGGTGCTGTCATCTTCCCACACCCCGGTGCCCCCCCAGTCCTTACTTTTCCGGAGTCAGGCATCTTGGCTCCTCTGTCTCGAGATGCTCCTCCGCTGAAACAGACAAGAAAGAAAGGGCGTCAGCTGGAAAGACAAAGCCAGCTCTGCAAAGGGAGGTGGCAGCCTGGTGGCGAGGCAAACTAGTTACTGAATTGCAGTTGAAAGTTCCCGACAAACTTAATTTGAGTAATAGATCTCTAAGGAAGGTGCTAGAACTTTCCAGAACAGCTGGTCTCCCAAACACCCAACTGCAGCACAGGCTATTATAATTATAATGAATTACTGAACATCTCAGGCATAGCAATGTCTATAGAATTTTGGGCCCATGGCTGTAGTCACCTAATACAGCTCACGGACATGTTACTGGAGATGTCCCTTTTGTAACCCCTGTAGGTCACTGACTCCTGAAGAAGTTCCTGCAAGTTCCTAGGATTTCAGAAGCCCTCTCCGTAGCAACTCAGAGTGGGGCTTTCAGTGCAACCAGCATTCCTGTAGAGATGCAACAGGTGTTCATTACCTGGACGTTCCAG